GTCTTTTTTGTTTGACGTTCGAGATGCTCCTCGCAGCAGTGGGAGAGTTTGGACTTAGAAATGGTCAAGCTGAGGTGGTGAATGTTGTCGCCGTAGGATCCTGCGTCCCAGTACCGGTATGATCAGGGAATCCTGTCCAATGTCTTGCATTGACATGGCCGGTGTGGGGTGCAAGGAAAGGTTGCAGAGTCAGATGAGATAAAGACATAGACAGAACGAGAGACAGGACGAGAGATAGTGGGAGAGAGAGAGACAGAGACAGAGACAGAGACAGAGACAGAGAGACAGAGACAGAGACAGAGAGACAGAGACAGTGACAGAGAGACAGAGACAGAGATCAAGAAATAGGAATGGGCTGATAGGGAGAGGGAGAGACACAGCAAAGGTGGCAGGGGAGAAGAGGGAGGTTGTGATGAGAGTGTGCATGAGGATGTGATAGAGAATTGTGTATTGGCTGCAGCAACTCTCCTACCTGCCTGACCAAAGCGGGAAACTCCAAGATCCCAGCCCACGATAGGAAGACGGGACTCATGGTCCTCAGCACCAACAAGGAACTGTAAGCAGGTCAGTCCGGACTTGAGCTTCCTGCAGTGATGCGTTGTTCTCGGAACCACACAAGAAAGCAACATGCCAGTCCATGCAGCACCAGCCCTTGTTTGAACGGCCTGCTTGGAATGATTCCCGCCCGCGGCCCCCAACAACCAAAACGAGAATTCTTCCTCACTGGCCTTCGGTTAGAGGCATTGTCAGCGAGCTGCATAAGGCAGCTTCAAATCAGAGGTCAGGCCTGCAATGGCATCTGCAGCCACATGGGCAATCACATCAGTGAGCATTGACACAGCCGAGGCAGCTGGTAGCACAGAGAATAGAGTCGCCAACACATCCCACGCCGTCAGACCAACAAGCAAAAGACCAACGACCAACTCATTCCTTGTGCAACAATGAGCTGCTCCTGGGGTTGCACAGCAGAGAGAATGGAATGTCAAGGGAGTCGGGCATCTTCCAAACTCTCGGCATTTCATTGGTTGCTGCTCCGGGTGTGTTGCCAACCCCCACGTGCAGAGCAGGCAGCCAACACACCGCCATCCCTTGCAAAGAATCCTTCCCACTTGCCAGGAAGCCCCTACTGATTGTGGAAGCAAAATGTGACGTCTCCGTCAAACCAAACAATCTCAGAGCGGAGACAAACGTCCATCTACTATCATGATGACATGTGTACCATCACAAACATGACGTGCTTCGTGGCCGCCGAATACCTAGGTAGGTATTGTACCGAGTATGTTTGAGGGCCAAGACTCAGTGCCAGGGATGGTCTCCTTACGAGTATTGCTCCCTAGCCACCCCACCTACCTCGAGATCGTATGCTGTCTGCCCAGCCTCTAGGTATCAGACCTCCGTGGTCCGATACCCTCTTGCTGCTGCCCATCGGTGACCCCTACGAAGCCAAACAATGACTTGATTTTGGGGCCCCCCGGAAAGATCGAACTTACCTCGACGAAGCAGGCGTCTCTCCTTCCGTTTCTGCATATAGTCCCCAAGTGGTAGATTGAGGTCACTATACTTGAATCGTCGTTGAACTGCCCGAATCTCCACAGCGGCTTGGTCAGTGCTATCGTATCCCCCAGACCAACACTTAGAAATGACATGGCTGAGTAACAAGTCTTGCGTCTCGAGATATTCGCCTCGGGTAAAATGGCGTTCGATGGCCTGTTCGTCCACGTCCTCGGATACTTTGCGAGCTGTTGAGATTTCGTGCAAAACACAGCCGAGTGCAAAGACTTCTGACTGCACTGAAGGTAAATCAACTGAGATCAAAGGATGCTATGCGCGTGTGCTAGGAGCAGCAATGGATACGTCGCCATCGATGCAGCTCCCCAAGAAATCACAATATTTGATGTTCTCATCCCAGTAAAGAAGTAAATTGTGGGAATCGGTATCAACTTGAAGCACATTCTTCCCGTGCAAGTATTCTCGAGGAAGCTGTATTTCGGACTGGGAAGCCATCGCATCCTCAGGGAGAGCGATTCAGGAGTGAATCGGGGGACGGTGATGGCATGGCAACCGAGGATGGCAAGGCTGAATCGGGCGATGGGCCAGGAGATGGCGAGGCGGAGAGATTTCTAGGTTAGCGGGGAGTATGATAAAAGCTCTCGAATTCTTGGAATTTCGTACCTTGGTGCTCAGACGTTATGACAACGAAAGCTGTGCCATTGATCGCGATTCAGACGCGGCCAGAGATGACTCGCGCCTCCGACGCATTTAGGGAGGTCTACCGAGGATTGACAAGGCTGGCAGGGCAGCCTTGTAGATGTTTGTTTACCCAGCCGGAATCGGAATGCGGTGTGTCATTGTCCGCGCTGTGCAACCTCCGCCTGATCCCCCTCACTGTTCGCCCCTTCCGCCGAGGGCATATCTCTGAAGCAAGGTGGTGCACATTCGCGGCACGGGGAACATATATCTCCCATTGACGTCGACCAACAAATGACTGGTGTCCCTCTGGAAGTCGCCATCATTCGAAGAGTGCTCAAGACATGTATACTCAACTGTCATTGCTCTCAAGGCAGGGTACATCTTTGTCCAACAGGTATGGAGATTTGAAGTTTTGGGTGGAGTCTGTACGGTATATCTTGCATAGTCCACTCAAGGTGAGACAAATGGGTATGCAAGAGCAGCGAACATAGACGCTGATCAAGTCACCGCGGAGGGCAC